TTTCAAACCAAGGCCAGGAAAGTTTTTTTTTTTTTTTTTTAAATAAGGCCTAAAAGGCAGCATTAAAACTACACAATACCTTTTTAACATGCTTGGGGGATGCCTCAAACCTGCAAGTGATGGAGTACATCCTACAGGTATGTGGCATATGAACCCCAGCAAAAGGGACTTAAAAAAAAAAAATTACTGCCACTAAATGATTTTTCGAATCCCCGGCCTGCTTATGACGCCAGCCGTGCTCTTTACATTTTAGCAGCGTTGGGGAAACTTTCATTATGAAGTCTGGCGAGAGGGTATTGTCTTGTACTGTGTTTGTTTGTATCAGTGGTTGTCATTCATTGTTAATTGGCAATGGATCTACATCACTGGATGATGTGATTGACATTGGATTTATATCATGGGACTTTTTAATGATGTTTTTTTTTTAAGGTATATGGTGCGTGTTATTTTTATTTGCATTTTTTTTTATAAGTGACAAGGGGTACCATGTACTAATACTTATTCATGTAGGGGGTCTCCTGGCAAAGCACCGTGTCCCCATACTGATGGGGCAAGAAACTCACCCCCATATCCCTAGCCTGATGTATATGGGGAGAGGTACCCCTTGTAATAATTTTTGGTCAGTTATGTCATCCAGGATCCCTGCCAGCTTGTTTACCATTTGAAACAAGCTGATGGGTGACCGGAAGCTTAATTTAGTAGCAGTAATAATACTGCCACCTAAATTAATAATTTCTGGCTTCAGCAGCCAGAGGTTTGGGTGTTCGAACTAGCCAAAACTGCTCGTTTAGTGTGCCCATTCAGTGAACTGTGAACAGCTCAAGTTTGGTTGAGCACGTGGTCGACCCAAACTTGAAGTTCTTCCCTACCATTGAATTAAGCAGCAACTGCATGTGTAGTAGATGTCTCTTCCTTGTTCTCAATTCTCAACAGTGCAGACACAGAAAAGCTAATTTTAAACAGAGTACAGATTTTAACACTGGCTTAAGAGCCACATAGGCAGTTGCTGTGGCACCTTCTGGTTTCCCCAGGGGAGCCTCAAAATTTACACCCCGTAAATTCCATGGTGCAGACAGGCCGGCTGCCAGCATTATGGCAATGATTGATGCTAATCCAGGGAGAGTGGCATCCATTCACAAATGGTTGAAAGGTCGTCTCCATGCAGCCCTGCTTTACCTTTCACTCTCTGCCATGCTGCCACAGCTGTGGCTTCTGGTGTGATGATAGAGCTCTCATGTGAAGGAGGGATTGAGGACTTTGTGAGGGGGTCTTATGTGAGGGCTCCTGAGGTAAAGGGGGACTCTTATGTGAAGAGCTCCTACTGTGAGAGGGGGTGACTCAGATGTGAAAGGAAGATAGGGGTCTAGTATGGATTTTGGAGGGACCATGCGTCAATTTTTACATTCACTGGTTTTTTTGGTAGACTGGGGTGCCTTGAGATGTTGCACACTTTTTTGTATGAGGGTGTCATGACTGGAAAAAAAAGGTTGAGATCTGGGTTAAATCAACATGTTCTAACAACTTAGTTAATTCCTCTGAGCTGCTGAATCATATTGGTAGCAGTGGGGAAATGACCCTATGGCTTAATTTACACTATTTGTGAATGTGCATTTTGGGATTCCAAAGTATGCCCCTTAGAAGTGCCCACTGTCACCCATTCAAGTTAATGACCAGGTGAAAGCAGCAGTCTGCCGAAACTCCACAAGTAATGTAATATGATGACGTGGTTAGGAATACATCACTATGCTTGAACGCACGATGGTTGTGTCCAGGGACAGTGATCGATTCCTAACCAGATGCCTGACCACATGTAATCATATCACATACAATTACATGCAGAGCTCTGATGGATTGCCACATATTTTGGATTCCTGCTGCAGGAATCCCAAAACGCACATTCACAGCTAGTATATTTCCACTTTTGCAGCCAAATTAGGATAACACCTATTTATATTTTACATGTTCCCATTGACCTAGCATAGGCTTCTTGCAGTTAAGGGTTAAAATGTATTCTTACCTCTATTTCTTTTTAAATGTTAGGAGGGGCTGTGAGGGGTCTGAGGTGGCTTGTCCATTATAAGGTAATAAAGCTCATTAGATAAACACAATCCTCCTCAAATTTCAGTCCCAAAACTTTCCATTGGTACAGACCACTGAAAAAGGGCCTGGAATCAGCCATCTTGCTTAATTTTAACAAAACATCTAGAAGGTAAGAATTGTTTTTAGTTATTTTTCAGTATATTGTGTGAATAGAAACATAACGAACATATGGAGGGGTTTTCCTAAATTAAGAATGCATTGTTGCATCATCTCTGCAGTCACCTAACAAACTTGGCATTTCAGCATGACACTGTATTCTAGTGCAACTTTTTTTTTTTTTTTTTTTTGCCCAAGAAGTCCTTTTACCAAA